GTGTATGTATTTTGGTTTATTTGGCTTTTACCTTCCTAAATTTATGTCCTGCTTGTTCGTTTTTATTTTTTTTTCTTGACTGTGATACGCGCACACTATTAAGGCCTCGAGCTGTTTGTAGGCACATTAAAAGAATAAAGAAAGAAATAGAAGGTGCTCCATAATGCAAAGCCCGCAGTGTTGCATACAGGTGATTTTTGGAAGTAGTCTTTCCTGGCGATGCAATAATTAATCCTTCTTCATTTATATAAAAAGTATTTGTATGCTATTCGATTGACGTCGCGCGATTTCAAAGACTTTCAAGAAGAACGCGATGCATTGTTGCGCACCGTGGCATCGCAGCCATTCAGATCCCGCTGCGAGCGTTGCGAAGCGGGCTTTGCCTCTACGCCACACGGAATGTGGGGGAGCCCATTCTCTCATCCGGCCTAGCTACATTGAGGGATGTCAAATCTCTGCGTGGTAAAGGAAGCATACTTAATTTGTGCTTTGCCCTTCAGCTGGGAAGAAAAACAAGGCCAAAGTGATACGTTGTGAGTTAACACTAAGTAGGGAAGAGAACACATCGCTCCTGACGAATGACCCAGAGTAAAGCGCAGCCCGTCTGGTAATCTAGCTGTTCATTGTAGTCGCTGCCCGTGCTCGCCAGTTCTGCATGATGTGAAGGTTCTGGCGAAATACAAAGATAAAATATGCCGAGAAGTGCACGAGGCGTTTGAGATTAGAGCAAAGGGAGATGAATGCGTTAGCGAGCCTTCCCTTGCCCTCTCAGGGAAAGAGTTTGATTTTATCAAGAGGTCTTCTGGATTGATGGGATGAATAGGCATTTTTAACGGCCTATATATTATGTGTTTTTTCCTAAATAAACTTTAGTTGCGAGTGCGCCTCGTCCTGTTTACTCTCGTCTTTGTCCTGTCGTTTTTTGGCGCTGTAAATACTGATCATGAACCAACTAGCCCAAATTTCTACTTTTCTACTTTGCTAAAGCGAAGCATCTTATGGAACTATAGCTCTCAAGTCTGGCCTGCGCCTGTGACAAGCAAAATTGAATATTTCTCAGTCAAGCTTTGGTTGTGCGTCATTACGCATTTTTTTTTATGTACGCTAAACTGGCACAATGTCATTAATCGATATAAAATTGTAAAAAAAAATAAGAATTTTTATTGCTTTGATAAGACAATGAAAGAAAGCGCGAGCTATGTTTGTCTTCCGTTTATTTATACTTTTTTTTTGTTCTTTCATATGTTTTGTTACCGCGCGTAGACAGATGATGACTCAAGCTTGTGAACGAACGTGACTCGTACATGGTTGAACACTGCAGTGCCTCTTGATGTTCGATGCCTATTTTATGGTCGCGTCTTACGGACGGGTTTGCGCCCCCTGACAGAAAGAACGAGGCCTAAAAAGGAAGCGTTGGGTGTTAGCAAAGTACAAACCTTTCCAACGCTTATATCTCTCAAAAAAAAAAAAAAAAAAGATCCGAGTTGGGCATGCATGCGCTGCGTCTGATATTTCACTGAAGAAAACGACTGCGCATGCTCAGAACGCCTTCCACAGCCCAGCAGACAAGGATGAGAGTGCGGAGAGGACGATTATTGGACGGTTCATACACAAGTTTCACATTCAGAGATCATCCGAGAAACGCAGACGCACTTTGCCGCTGCATCATGCAGGGACTCCTGTATTCCTAGCTACAAACGGAGGTACCAAGGAGTAACCAAAGGATTATCTCAACAGCGGCGGCGATCTCAAGGGAGACGTAAAACCTTGTAGCGTGGTCTTCACATCTCCGCAGCAATACAGACGACGTTTAGGTCCACATTACCACGAGTCGGTTTGATGGATACCTCCGTCAATGCCAATGATCAACCATCTTGTCTGACTCGCTCGAGTAAAGCGGAAGAGGAGATGCACGTACCAGAGTAAGGACAAAATCCTAGATCATTTATTAAAACACTCTCTTATACGAGAACTATTATCTCCCCGTCCAAAATGCCCCCCTCGCCGGCAAGGTAAGAAAAGCTCCTTACCTGCCATACGCGGGTGTCCGGAGAGCCAAGATGGGGGATGTACGGGAGAAGTCGCCGATACACGTCCGATCTCTTTCGCGGCCCCCGGACGGGCCTCCGTCCCGAAAGTGGGAAAAGAGAGTCGAAACCTCCTCGCCTGTCAGCAGTGATCCGCATCCGAGCGGGGGAACAAAAAGATGTCTCCCCGGGAGAGGGTGAGAGGAGGGCCCTCCAAGACAAGGACCCTCCACTTCACGGACAGGTCGGAGTTCACGGCGAAGGACGCGAAGCGTTCTGACCCACGGCCGTTATCACAGCCATCGAGGAAGGGGGATTACAGGAATCTTCATAATCTTTCAGATGACGCTGGGTGCAGGACGAGCAGTAACAAGCAGACGCGAACACAGGCGCAGACGTGTGCTTCCGCGCTCTCATCTGCTCGTTATTGACCGTGGTGTCATCTGCAAAAGAGAAACACTCACACAATTTTCTGCAATGACCCAACGACGCTAAATCGAAATTAAAATTAGTTATATTGTTTCTAACAATTTACTCCGGTAACCGTAACTTTTTGGAACATTGTCATCTTAAGCCAATCACAGCCTCTATAATCTGACGGAGTCTGTACTATTTGCAATCTGTAGTTTATTTTTCACTCTGCGGTACACTCGGCTAATAGTTTTTAACGTTGTCTCGACTCATGCAAATCGTCCATGAAAAAGAGATGGAGAAATATCACTGAATGTTGCGAAAAAACCTTTCCAGAAAAAAAAAGAAGAAGAAAAAAAAACGTATTTGGGGGCGTTCATAGTATTGCTTGTGAGTTTGGCGCGTACACTTTCTGGGTCATCAAAATGGCGATAGGCAACGTGCTTGTCGGACTCTAGTTTTTTTACGTCCACTTGCAACTTTTTTTCAGGCAATCAGATCACCTAAACAGAAGCCAGAAAGATGAGGGGTTGTGACGGCGGGCATTTTTCGGTAAACCGTTAGGTTTTCAACCGAAAACCCTAAGGTCTGTTACCCGTTTGAGCGCGATTTTTGGAGGTAAACATTTTGCATCAGAATTTACACTTTTTTCACCGATATCTCAAATCACCCCTACTTGTACATTTTTTGTAACTTCAAGTTTTGTGAGCGCTTGTGCTTGTGTTGCTTAAAGCAATAAAAAAAAAGATTCTTGATACGCACATTGCGCAAAAAAGAGTTTTAAAAAAGTTGTGTGTTTTTTGTGTATTTGTATATATCGCTCGTAAAACTATCTATCATAGCTATGTTATGATTGCGCGACCCACCCTTACAAAAATGAACAATGAGTTTCAATTGAGCTTCTAATGTGTTTTTATAGAGTCAAATGAAACTCATAAGAATCTCATCGTTAAATGAGTTTTATCATTACCCACTCCATATCTATTCTTTTGAATTTACTCATTACAAATTCAAGTGAGGTTTATCGTTACCCAATCAATGTCAATTCTTTTGAGTTTACTCATTACAAATTCAAGTGAGGTTTATCGTTACCCAATCAATATCAATTCTTTTGAGTTTACTCATTACAAATTCAAGTGAGGTTTATCGTTACCCAATCAATAGCGATTCTTTTGTGTTTACTCATTACACATTGAAATGAGTGTTATCAAAAAAAAAATCAATAAATCTACTCCCTACTGCATTGCACCCGAAGCAAATAGCGCGTCGGTGCTAGTTCTGATATACAGATTTATTTCCTGTGCTTAAAATAATAACTGTATTCACCCTCTTTTACTGTATGTCTTCAACGCGCCACAGTCTAGCGAAACCAAGATTTCGCGAAATCGGCCTGCTCACACGTGGAGTTTGACGCGCGAAACCTGTGACGTATTGACTCACGAGAATTTCGCCAAACCTTGTCTGCACCGGGAATATTAAGCGTCTCGCATCAAAATGATACGAAGTACGCACAGTGTGAAGAGACAGCCTGTTTTATTAATGCCACTCAATGAATTTCGTCAGATTCGGCTCAACGGGTTTACTAGTTCTGCCAAACCCGGGAAAAACCGCGAGATGATCTCGAAGCATTTCGGCCATTTTTGCACCGCTAATAAAGAGCGTTATCCCCAGTCACCATGTTTATATACAGTGCTTGCACCCGCCGCGACTGTTGACGAATCTGCACCGCGCCCCCAATCCGTACTGTAGGCGCCGTTAACACACCTGCAACCGAGCAGGACCAAGACTCGTCGCCCGTATGTCGCTCGACATGTTTGTTTTGTTTTCTTTCGGCTTCGGCTCGGATACGGAATCGGCCAAAAATCAGACTCCTCCAAAAGCTCGCTCCTCCTCGAAGGTCAGACGTCATAGCGAAGTCGAGCGGCCATTGGCAGCGTCCGCGTTTCTCCTTCGGGAGATTGACGGGCGTCGGTGAGGTTTCAGCGGAAAATTGCTCCAGAAGCGAGAAACACGCGACACTTTTTTCGAAGGCGCGCCACTTTTTCGGTTGCGTTCAGACGGGGAATTTGTTTCCCGAAACCTAGTTTCGCAACACAAGATTCGCCAACAAGATGCATCATGTGAACAGATCTATTTACGGCGCTTCTCTATCGCGATTTGGTCAGTTTCGGTTTCAGTATTGCAACTTTTACTGGTTTCGGTTTCATATTTTAAGGATCGCGTCTTCGACGCCCCATCGGTAGCGACACCAGTTCTGTATATTTTTCTTTTTCCGGCATGGTTTCGCGTTTCGCCATTTTTGCGACCGTTAGGTGTTTCGCCGTTTCGCGGTATGGAAATGCCTTTAGAAATGGAAATGTGCTAATTTAACAAGGTTTATCTATCTGTGAAGTTTTCTCTTGTGATGATTATGTTCAAGAAGAGCGCGGAAGGCCGACGACGCAACAGAACGAGCAGCTCAGCGCAGTTGGTAAGTGTACTTCTTTGTTTGCATTGTAGGCGTTGAACGAGAAGTGAACATTATGGAGTTTTAGAATAATCTCGTGGCTGCTGTGCATGCGCAGACCCAAAACAAGCTTCGGACTCGAGCTTTGGGGCCCGTTATTTTTCGATAATAGCGTGGGTACCTCAAAAGGCGGCGGGTCCATATCACAAGAGCGAATGACATTTTAGCGAACGGCGACATTTGAGCGAATGGTCATTTTAGCGAATAACGGGGGCGCGCGTTAACCCATCCGTCGCGCTGCGCTTTACGCCGCTTCGCGGCGACAGTCTGCGGCAACTCATTACAAAAATATGAACTCATTTGGCCCACCCGAAAACGCCGCTTCGCGGCGTCCGACTATTCGCTAAAGTGTCGTTCGATGAAACGTGGGCGTTCGCTAAAACGTCATTCGATCAAGTGAGTGCCTCCCCCGGCGACCGCGGTCGGTATGGTCGACGCGTATTGAAAACGCCACGGATCGCTGGATTCACAGCTCAAAGCTATCGAGGCGCGTGTACTTACGATCGCGGCAGACATGTAAGCATGCCTGGGTAGTGGATCGTCTGGGCATCGTAAGTACAACAGAGCAGCTTGGCAGCGACAAAAACAAAACATGCGGCATTGAGTGTAAAAAAACTACAAAAACGTTACTCTGGACAAAAAGCTTGTTTAATTTTCAAGATAAAACGTTCTAACTTTCAAATAAAAGCTGCCGCGACATCTTGGTGGCGTTTTAAGCGCGAGATGCTTGCGTTTGGGGGGGTCCCCTTCAGAGAAACGCTATTCTAAAACTCTTCGCCGCAATCCTCGCTATTTTGCCGTCCGTAACGCGCGGTAAAGTAGCGCCCGATATTCTAAAACTCCCTATTTTCTCGTTAAGCTAGAATGTTTTTTTTTTTTTCTTTTTTTAACTAGTTGGGTTTGCTTAATCTGTCCTAATGTTTGGATCTATGTGTAGCGTAATGAAAAGTTGCCACTCATTCTGTGTATGGTCCGAGAAAGTGTGGCTCATAGGAAGCGAGCAAGCCGGCCGTGTCGCGGCGGTCGCCTATTGTTCGCCGCGACCTGGCGGTAGCCGCCGCAGGAGCATCGGGCAGCAATGGCGACGAACAGCACGGCGGGCAGTGTCCCCGTCGTGATTACGACGGAATTTAAGGCAGTTACGAGTTCGGAAAGTTCCTTCGGAAGCCGGTGCCGCCGGCTCAGAATCATCGCGAAGTAATAGCAACGAACAGCACAGAGGACAGTGGTCGACTAAGAATCCGGAGAGCTTCTTCGGTAGCCGGTGCAGAATCATCGGGGGGAAGCAGTGGCGATTAGCAGCACAGCGGACAGTGTTTCCGGGGTGATTACGACGGGGTTTAAGGCGGTTACGAATCGAGAAAGCTTCTTCCGTGGTGCCAATATGACGAAGAGAAAACTGTTTCATGAATCTGGCCGCGTGTGCGACGTGAAGGAGGTCCGTTTCGACGGACAAGTGGATGTCACGGAGCGCTGTACTCTGCAAACAAAATTAAGCGCGCCCGCAAAAAAATTTTGTTGGCGTTGAGTGGACTGCGGTAATTATGTAAGTTTATTTCTAAATCAGCTTGACAATAACTGGGCGATTTTTTTTCGCGCCGTTCCGCGATTCTCTTTACTATCTTCCCGTAGGCTGATGGAAACATCCAACGGTAGGCTTAGGAGGGCGACCACATTCCGCTTCTCGATTCCGGTGAAGTATTTGCTGCATATTTTAGAGTTTGCCGTCGGTGTCGATGCTGTTCCATGGTCGCTAGAAAAAAAAAAAGTTAACTGTATTATTCGTCAGCAGCTTAAACAAAGCGCGAACTGGAAGGTAAGAAACGCCACTAACCTGTATGGACGCACAAGTCGAACCCAGGTCGCGCAGTACTCCGCCTCGTACGGCTTCGAAGGGACGATGTAGTACTTCGTGCCGTGCGCGATCTTGCCGACCACGCAGCAATTGTTGCGGCTTTCTTGGTGCGGAATAGCCATCTCAGAAATGACAGTGCTAACCCACTACAACGCACAACTAACGCAGCGACTGGCAGAAGATGCCCGATGCAACGGACCCGTTTGCCGCTAGGGGCGCCCTGGTCGGGGCTTGAATTAGATCCGCACGGTTCCTATGTCAACAGAGCACGTATTGAATTCCTAATGCTACTTTCAGTCCGTTGCTTTAGGAAATGTCTTATTGGTCTAGCAGTGTACTGATGTCTTTCAACTATAAATTGATTACATTGGCAATACTTTATTACATTTCCGAAGTTAGACTTCCTTGGAATTCGGTTCATGCAGAGACAATATTCCTTTTCAGTCAAAATGGTTGAAGAGGATATCCATCTTTTGTTTTGAAGTTATGGAAGTGGACTAAATTGTACTGTTAGGACAAACTTCGGTCCCCTGGCTTTCTAGAATTGAACTGGGTTTACATTTGTCGGTTAGAACTTTTGATTAAGCAGTTGTTCCTTTTGCCTCTTTTTTTTCTCTTTCATTTTGCAATTGTGATGTGATCAAGCCGAGGGCCGCAGTTATTCCCAAATGAAGCAGCAGCAGTGTGTTCCCAGCTTGCGTCACTTCGATTCATTTCAAGGCATGCCACGAAATGAATGCCCCTGTTCATACACCGTTGGAATTGAGACTGACTTCAAAATGCAGTTCGACACAGTGTTTAAGCGGTATGAAACGTCTGTTGAATGACCTATGCGGTTGTCACAGGTTCGTGGTTGGTCAACCCGAAACGCTTGTCTTCCTCTTCCCATTGGTTTGAAGCTCGGCCGGCATTATACTTTTTCATACTTAGCGTGCAACGCTGTCAAAGCTACTGGCGCGAGTGCGTGGCTTCATCTACGGTTTTGTTTGTGCGAGAAGGCGTGCAAATGATCAACAAGACCAAGCCCCACGCTCGCGCCAGTAGCTTTGACAGCGTTGCACCTTAAGTATGAAAAGGAGTATAGTCTCATCCGAGCTGAAGCCTTTGACGCTCAGGTAAACATGTGCGAGAATTGTAATTGACCCTGCCCCCAAACCACCTATAAACAGACCAAAATGACAAAAAAGACAAAATTTGTGACAGCGGTGTTCGAGAGAAACTGCAGACGTTTAATTACCCTGCCTGAAACTTTGCAAACATTTCAGTGTGGTTGCACCTGTGTGGGCGAGGTAAATCCACTATGAAAAGACCCTGAAGTGACGCCTTCAGGATGCCGAAAATAATTATGGTAAGTTGGAAATTAACCCACTAGTATACTTCCTAAATATTTGGGCCGGGTGTCGATTAAAATATTTTAACCCAGTTAATTTGTCACAAATTTTCAGGCATAATATCTTGAAAAGAATGGAACTGCAGATGTTCCAAACTGGCTGAGGTAAATCAGCCTTGAGGTGCACCAAGGTTTACACTGAACATACTTTTGTGTATTGTCCACGAGGTGTAGCTCTTGCAATGAAGTTTTATGTTGTAGTTTCTTCAATGTTTGAACTTTCAGCGTGCCAGCTGGGTAGTGTGTAAAGGTTTTTTTTTTATAGCGCAAGCAATATCTTAATCCTGGTGGCAGAAAGTTTCGGCTAGCAGTTGACATGGTTGGACAACGGTGTGCATGCTTGCTTTTTCTGAAGCGGCCAATGAAGCGAAATAACATGTGCGGATTGTTCATGCATTTAATTTTTTGTTTTTTGTTCGTTTCAGACTACATGTGCTCCCAGTACAAGGGGGTGGCCCTCCAGGCGCTGACGACCAGCATGTCATCTCTGCTGTGCTGTCGAGGGAAATTTAAAGGGTAAATATTGCAGCTGCAGTTTTTTCTATTCTATCCCTGCTACACTTCCTGCGAATTTCTGTCCATACTTGGTCTTTTTGTTTTCATAGTACTGTAAACTTTTGTTATTGTCCGTTGCAACTATAGAATAGCACAAGCCCCTCCCACAATTCCCTTTGCTCGCCATGATTGGCGGTGTCCTCTCGGTTCTCCTCCTCTCTAGTGTTTGCTTATTAAAAAGAGTGAAGGGCTTTGTGGGAGGGCCGTCTGCTATTCTAGAGTGGCAACAGAGTATAATGACCTCAGTTAATTTAACCATTTCGAAGAGTCCTAGCGGGCACCCATGCATTTTTATGGGAAGGACTCTGCATCATATTTTGAACCGAGAAAATGACCCCACAAACGGGAAAGCACGGGCTTTCTGCTACAAAATTAACGGAACCAAACTTTGTTTTCAAGATCAGACCGGAAAAAGTCGACTCCTGTCTTAAACGGCGAGTAACAGAAATCCTGTGCTAGTCTCGCCACGTTGGGAAGCTAATGCTATGACCCCCATCTTGATTTCTTTAATGCTTGTTATGGCTGTTTTCACATCTGGTATTTTCACTGTTCTTTGGCCAAAAGTGAGTGGCAGGTCACCATAGGTTTCCAGAAGAAAGTGGTCGCATATGCAGAAATTTCTAGCAAGTTCGTAGCGCAGTGGCACTTCGTCGCAACCGAGGAAAAACTATGGTATTGTTGGTGCAAAACATTAAGCCTCACGACTAGCAGCAACTTAATCATGGATATACTGCACCGTACGGCGTTTATTTGAGCTCTACTCCACTCAAAATATTACAGGGGCACTTAGGTATCCCTTTGTGGATTGAATGCGAAAGCATTGCCATTCCTAACGACACTTCCTTTTTTTTTTTCCTCTATTGTTAGGAATGGCAATGCTTTCGCATTCCATCCACGTATGTATAACTAAGTGCCCCTCTAATATTTGTATTACGTTACATAATACGCCGTCACACATCAGGACATATTTTTATGACCATCTTTCGGGCACATCAACGCCAATGCCGTCAAACATGATGAAAAAACAGCCTCAGATAAACAGGGACAAAAAACGGGTAAAGACATGCCATCTTTTGCTGTAATGGGACAAGCTTCTTTTTGAGGGGAGAGTAATGTCGCATTCCGAAGCGGCTGAGATAGCACAGCAGCTAGCATGCCCGGCTCTCACACAGCAGCACCGGGTTCAAATCTCAGCCGTGAAAGCACATTTTATTTTTTATTTTATTCCTCTGTTAAAGTTTGGTACAACTCGGATTTTTCGCTCCATGGACATATGATGCTTTGGCATTAAAAAGGCACATCCAGTCAGGAATGTGCCTTTTCGTGTGGTAGGGTCGTACAGCCGCTCACCACTTTGAAAATGACTACTGAAGTACAAGAGGGCGCTAATGATCACCAAATCAGGTTCACGCCATTCATAGGTGAAGGATCCTTTTGCGTGCACTGAAGATTTGTGTGGCATTTGCTTTCGTTGATTCATTGGCGCATCTCGCCGTTGATCGCAGTCCTGCACCTGGTTAGCTCTAACGGGCAGGATGGACAGCTCGGCAGACTCGTTGGCTGAATCCTCCGTGTGTAGTTTAGCGTTGCCCTTATACTGCTTCAAGTAGGGATGCATGTGAACAGTGCGCAAAACGCATGCCTCTTGCCCACGCTTCTATATTCATTGCTGGTCGCGGCGAAATAGCCAAGTGATGTGCGGCCATGTTTGCCCTAAAAAGTTTGTGAGACATTTAGGATAATGTCGTAATATTTCGTTGTAAGTCACTCAAAAGGTGCGACAAATTTTGTTTTGTTAATACGGATTTCTTCTCGGGTATCGTAAGTTTGCTTTTTGAACTCGGCCTCTGATGTTTCGATCCTCCCAATAATTGAAACTTAGTGTGGCGGATCCAGACCTTTGTTTGTTTTGGGGTGGGCGGAAAATTTTTAAGGATACTATTCTCCCATTCTTTCTTGTTCAAGGGGGGTCCACTCATGTCCAATTGCCCTCCGAGAAGGGGGGAGAGAGAGGGGGGTCCCCCCCCCCTGGATCCGCCACTGTTGTGAAACCTGCAGTTGATACTCACCCATTCGGAGCATGGCTTTATGATCCGCATAGAACCCTATTACCGTTTCCTTCTTGTCCAGTGTGATTAAAAATACTTGTTCAAGATAGTAAACAAACAAAAAAATTAAATAAAAATACACAGGGACAACAAGTAGACATAAAACACTGGCGCCAGTGTTTACCACCACTTATTGTCCACGTGTTTTTTGCGGCGCTTGTCTACGATCATGGATCAGTTGGCCCAAATTGCCATGTTAATTCTGCGAGATGCCTATAAGTCTTAGCTTCTCTATGTTCAAATTTGGTAAAGCCGAAACAAAAAAAAGAGTGCAATGCAGCGGCAAAAACAGTGAGCGATTGATTCTCGCAGACTCGGGGGCAAAATATACTTTTGCATTATGGTGCCCCTGACAATGTTATTAGTGCCACTCATTAAACTATCAAGGTAGTGTGTAAATTAAATGCCTGGGTGAGCAAAAATGTAGGAATTGTGAATGTGACCTTCTGCATTTAGGGCTGGTTCACACATACAGTGCAGCGCTAACTCAGTCCTGTTAAGGCAACGAGTCACTGCTACTTCCATGGCTTGTATCGTGTGTTCTGAGGGTCCTCCTTTCCTAAAGGACTGATGTCCCGGTTTGTAATACTGATTCAGCGCTGAGGTAGTGCTGCACTGTGAACAGGATGCCTCGCGCGGACATTGAAGTTTAGATAAGCAGATCAACGTGTAACTGTGCATTTTGTTTTTTATAGGTTACCAGTACAAGGTCTCCCATGGACATGAAGGCAGTACAAGGTCTCCCATGGACACAATGGCAGTACAAGGTCCCCCATGGACACGAAAGCAGTGTACCGTATACTCGAATTTTGCATTTTTAATAAACCAATTATTAATCCTTCACACGGTTTTATGCAGGCATTTTCCGAACACTGCATGCGTATATAGGCATACATAAAAGTGACACTTGCACTCACTTTCCCCTTCCCTCAAAACAATGGTTAGATCCGGACCACATGTTATGCAACCTATTGCCGTCTTCCCCCTTAGAGCCATCTATCTAGAAACCCACGCTAGGAGTATAATTTCTAATACATTTCATTTGAAAGTCTAGATACACTGCTTTGAGTCTCTGTTGAAAATCAAATGTTATTTTCTACAGCGTTGCAATTCAGGTTTTGATGGGCCATCTCATTTGGTATATTCTGACTCGTCGGAATATACCTAATGAGATGGCACGTCAAAACCTCAAGTACAACGTGGTAGAAAAAAACATTTGATTTTCAACAGAGACTCAAAGCAGTGTATCTAGACTTTCAAATGAAATCTATTAGAAATTCTTATGAGGTGGCACGGCTGAACCTCAATTGAAACGCGGTGGCCAATAGTTTTCGTAAACTCCTTAGGGACTCGTTACAAAAAATCAATTGTTTTTCAACACAGACTCGAAACGGTGTCAATAGACGTTCAAATTATATTCATATGAAATACATTAGAAACTTTATGCGGTAGCTTTGTCGAAACATCAATTGGAACGCGGTGGCCAATAGTTTTCGTAAACTCCTTACGGACTCGTTACAAAACTCGTTTGCATTTCTAGTGAGACTCGAAAAGATGTAATGAGTAGACTCCATAAACTGTCAAATGAAATTCATTAAAAATTTTTGTAAGGGCAATTTATAAGTGAATTAAAGCTTCATCCGGCTTACTGAGTGCCAGATATGAGCATTGAAAGGTGTTCGCGCTAAATTCCTAATGAGTTATATATATATAAAAAAAACAGTCCTAAACTTTCTCGTATGTGTGTAAATGAAGCTTGTATTTTTCCATTTTCGTATTCACTCGCGCACGCGGAAACGGCTCGAGTAAAGTCCTAATTGAGTTGCGAAATTTAAAAATGAAATGCGCCGACGGCTACGCCTTGGGCAGGAGTTGAAAGAGAGGCAAACGAGGAAGGCGAAGTATCGCTTCAGCCGTGGGGCCCTCATTACTCAACATTGTTCCAGAAAAGAAAAGCACGAACGCTTCCCAGCTTGGGGAAACACCGACAGGTGCTTCTCTTGCGGCGCCTCTTAGACTCTTCGCGCTACGCTAGGCAACAAAGCACTGCGCATTTGTAAGAGACACACTCTGCCGCGCAAGCCGACCATTAATTAGTCTCGAGTACGACGTGCCACAAACTTGTGATCGTCTCCTTCGCTGAAGAGTCATTAAACGCTCCTTTTGGTCCGATGCACAGAAAGAATATGAAGGGATCCCGTTGCAACATGCAGATTTGACCGGAAAGATATCTTTTCCAAGCGTTCCATCCCTCTCGCTAGAATCCCAATGCACAAATGGCGACCGCCATCGCACCACTGCTTCTCCGCGCCAAGCAAACGCATCGTCTTCGAGAGCCGGTTGCGACAAATTCACTCTCATAGATGGGCCCAAGTACACGCTGTCTTCGATTGCGCGATTTAAACGATTTTGTGATTCCATGTAAGATTAGATTACCGCGAGTATAAAAAATATTTTGTAGTTTCCATAACGGTCTCTAAATGACTCTGGATTTTTAAATATTATTAGCCAGTCAGCCCAGTTGGAATTTCTCAAGAGCTACGCGCAGAGTGGCGGCACTCTTGTCTCGATTTGATCGAATGGTACATCAACGGTCATTCATCCGTTGATGCCACGTGACGTTTCTCTGGCCCTAGCGACTTGTGGGCATGTCCCCTTTGTTATCTGGTGTTCCTATACATAACTTGCAGATGACACCCTTCTTTCTGATGGCAAGAAGCCTCTCCTTCAAGCAACAAAAGCTACGCTCTCACTCGCCCCTTCCCCCATTTATGTCTGACCAAGTGACGTTAGCGCAACATATATATAGAGCCGTGTGGGACGCCCTGGGTGAAAGTTA